TGTAACAACACTTAAGTAAAATTTTATATAAGTGTATAATGTTATTAAGGATGTAACAACACTTAAGTAAAATTTTATATAAGTGTATAATGTTATTAAGGATGTAACAACACTTAAGTAAAATTTTATGTAAGTGTATAATGTTATTAAGGATGTAACAACACTAAAGTAAAATTTTATATAAGTGTATAATTATTTCCACACATCCAAGAATATCTAAAATATGTACTGCAAATGTTTTTTTTTGCATTATAAATATAATCATTAAAATGTTATTGAAAAAATGCATAACTTTTATTTTACCCTTAGTTTTTACCTTTAGCAAGGTCTTCACTAGAGATACATGATATAATTGTAAAAAGAATCAATCACTGATGTTCATAAATAAAAACAGTTGGGTTCTTTTGTCACATGATAATTTGTTCTAAAAATAGATCATGATATAAAATATGTATTGGAACACAGACACTTGGGGTTATTGTGTGTGGCTCCCCTTCTTGATCCGCACTTGTATACACCATGCCTATTTTTATCGTGCAAACCGTACATCAAAATATTTTTGCATATTATTATGACCTGGTCACATGTCTTGAACATAAAACTTGTTTTCCGCTATTTTAACCACGTTTAAAAAAGTCCCTAAAATATCATAATTTCATAAAGATAACAACATACGCTTTCCTTTAATGTGAGACGACTGGAATGAGTTTCGGCACTGTTTCGGCTTTCATTTTCATGCCGAGAACCAAAACCCTGCAGCGGTTACTTCCCCTAATCAGTACAGACACCAAATCTGGTCTGGTTCCCGTCGTACTATAAAATTTAGTATTGAACGGAGAGAAAAGGGCAGGTAATCCAGACTAACACCAAATCAAGAAGACTGACGGAAAGGGCCGAGTAGTTGCGATTGAAAATTGAAGTGTTGGTAAAAAATTGACTTTTTTTAAAACGTTATGAAATTCTATGCAAACTTGTTCATGTGTTAGACACTTAATCCTCTCATACTAATATAAGCACAAATTTAAAACTTATTCTTGTTATAAACGTATATGTTTAGTTTTTAATATTCAGGGGCGGAGAAGGGCAGGGTCCATACTCCAAGTGTCTGTGTATTTGAATACACCCATAAACACTTTTTATAATGAACTAGGTAAAAATAACCGAGGTATATCGAGTTGTTTCCCTTATCTTCGAGTAAAATTGGTATCTCATAGTCATACGCTAAAACAATACAAATTAAGCCATTTTTAAACCGCTAGTTTGTTGTGATTAAATGTCCGATATTAAAACTTATTACATCAATGAAAAGCTTGGGATCTTAGCTTTGTCACAGTATATAATTTTACATATCATTTGACACCAAAGTATTTAAATTAACTGTTAAACCTTCCATATGTCAGCCCATTTTACAAACGATTTATATAGTGAGATACGCAACCGGTTATCTTTACTCGAAAACCTACTGATAAGAAAAGCCTGTCGTCTGCTAGTTGGGGAAAGTGTTTATCGGTGTATTGTTCTAAGCAACAAAATATATGGATAATAATACAGTCATCATATATTACAATGCTCTGATGGTTAATTATCTTTATATCCATGTAAGAGTTATGAAGAATGTGTATCTACGTGTACATGACTGTGTAATGGAAAATTTAGAATACGTGGTTTTTTGTTAAAAGTCAAACATGTACTATATATTGGAAACATGCAATCATGTGTATAATAATTATGCACTCAAAATATATGGAGAATATTCAAATTGTATTACATCACAAAACTCCTACCAAAAAATCAAAACGTTTTTTTTTATATCCAAATGATTACTTCCTATGTTTATGCCATCAAAATTTTGGTGATGTGTACTGTATAATATTTTTGAAAAATATCCTTCTATTTAAGGCATGCACAAACAATTTTAGAAATTTTTCAGTTTGTACACCCTGATTTTGTCCGACTTTCCCGCCACTAGGAAAAATTCATCATCATCCCTGTATGCAAGAGTTGCGGGAGCAAATCCTATATCGGCCTTTGATATGACATATTGTACTTTCTCACCTCGCTCGTTCAGTTGATGAATCCTCTCGGGTCCCGCGACAAAGATGTAGCCAAGTTTATCAATAAAACAATCCATCGGTCCTTTTATTTCCTTGTACGCGAATATAACGTACCCATCTGGCGTGATATGATACACAGTATGGTTTCCACGGTCACATATAACAAGATTCATATCACCCGTAATAGCTATGTGGTCTGGGTTTAAAAATAAACTTTCTCCGTGAACACGTTTTTGAATTTCGCCTCTAGAATTCATGAGATGTATTTGCCATTGATTTCCTGTGATATTTATAGCAACGGCCAGACCGCCAAACCTGTTACTAGCAATAGCTGTACATTTACCTATAGTTTGTATGGTTTCAAGTCTTTTTAAATCATTTCTAAAAGTTTCGATTTGTCGTATTCGACTTGATGCTGGAAACGTGACAAACACTTCAGGCTTGTTTGGGCTTGCACACACGCTTTGAGGGTTGGACGGCATTTGTGCACTGGTTTGATATCTAAAGTGTTTGTTAAATAGTTTCAGTTTTTTGTTTGCCTGATCAACAACAAATAAATCTCCATTTGGTAAGAAAGCCATACTGGTAATATTACAGTCAAATTCATCGTCTAGAATTTTTACGCTGATCGAACCCTCGGGGATTGCGCGTCGCCTTTTCAATTTTATCACTTTTGGCTTCCATTCACGATTGATAAACTTGTTCATCTCAGGGGGCTCATCAGCCACCTCCCATTTTACTGTTTTTGGTCCTTTAGATGGAGATGACCCCATGAATAATGTAAAGTTTTATTTTCCGAAGTATTATCTGTAAAATTGTATTATTCCATATGAGCTGATAAACGTCAATGTTTTCTGAAGAAGACTTAACGTCGAAAGCTGTAGAAAAGCATTCATTGAACTGATTTTATATCCATTTTAGTGTTCCACACTTAATTGTGATTGTAAATTGTCATTAATTTTGTTTCCATAAAGATAAAATGTCAAGGTCATGACTCTAGGATGTCAAGGTCGTGTCTTCAATATTATTCCATTCTAAGCCTCCAGATAAGTAAATGAAACCAGTCTTCATAACATCAAACTGTAGCAAAAAAAAAAATTTAAATTTTTAAAAAATGTATAATGAAATGTATATTTATCATCAAAAGTATACCCTGTTAGTAATAGAGAAAATGAAATAACTTTTTGAATGACATTCTACATAATTTCGGTAGATAGTGAGAGCTTATGCTAAGTTAAGGCTTACTAGTAAATTACTTTCTTTGTTCACCTCACAATATTTTACTTTTAAAAGCATTTTTAAAATTTTCACAAAAAATAGCATGAATATGGGGGCATGCTGCTTTAAGTTTTCACAAATTCTTGGAATGTGCTGCTTTAATATTATATAAAAAAAAACTCACCTTTAGCTTTAAACCATCAACTTTATATAATAATACCTTTAATTTATTTACTGTTATTGACTGTGGTCTGTTTTAGATACTATGAAAAAAAAAACCCACATATAAGATTTCAGTTCAATTGTAGGGTTGATAAAATCTATAATTTTCCTATATATAGATTTCAATCACACTGTCTTTTGTTTTAATGCAGTGAAAGGTTAAAAAAAATGACACTTAAAACAATGGAATGAAAATTAGGTTTTATTTGGTAATTAGGTTTTCTTTTGTTTTGAAATGTATTTTTATTTCAGTTAGGCAAATATAATTTCTTTTATGTTTTCTCGCTAAAGCATTTAATTCACAAGCTATAAACTACTTACTGTTAAGCACTGAGTCAGGTAAAAGCTGTCTTATCAAGTTAAAGATACACTTTTAACATAGTAACTGCTATACAGTGTAGTATTCTATTCATTTATTGTAAACAACTTCGATATCACAAAATCAGTAAAATAAATATATAAATAAACAACCTCAAACATTACTTTGGATGAGTAAAGCATCACATGTATTAAACAGGTTTAACCCTTGCAGATTTTGTGTAATGGAATTGCCTGGGATTGATTTTGGAACAGTCTTTTCAAAGTTTTGGGGATTTCAATATCAAAATACTATGTATCTAGACCCAGGCCACACTGCACATGCATGCAATCTTTTGTATTTAAATTTTGTAATCCCTATAACATTGCATGGACTGTTCCAAATTTCAAAACAGGATAAATTCATTACACAAAGGTGAAACCTTAGGATTAGAAATACGGTTATATTTTTTTCTTTGACACTACTTTTGTGGAAGTCTTACATTTAATTAAGTACCTTAATGCCTGACTTGCTCACAAATGAATATATCTTTATTTTAAATACATTCAGTTCAATTGATTTCTATGATTTTTGTTGCCAAAAGGGGAGATAATCCACAAGTCATTAGATATGTCACTTACTGGCATTAAACAAAATTAGCATCAGGAATTTTTTGTCATCATGCGAGGTATCTAAATTTAGGAAACACATGTCCAAATGATAATTTAAACAAATGTGATATGATGATTTAAATTTCTAAAATAAGTTATGATAGTTTATAAGCAGCTAACTGGTTTGATTTTCCTGTCAGAATCATCATATTATCCTCAGTGTCATAACAAACTCCTGTTGGTTCAAACCCAATTGTCTCACTTCTCATTATTGCTTTGATTCTCTCCCCTGACGATGAAACCTGATGTACTACCCATGGGCTTGTTATAAACACTGACCCCATATTGTCAATACATAACCCAGTAGGCTCCCTTAACTGTTGGTTGTTAAACAGTTCTTCCCCTTCTATGTCAAAACAATATACAGAATTACTCCCTGTGTCAGAGACAAATAGTTTTAATTCTTTTGTAATTGCGAGATATTCTGGGTTAATAAGATTTAAACTATTGTCAAGATCTATAACTCTTGAAGTATGCGCCTTTAATGTCATTAGTTTTATCTGCCATTCGTTGACATTTGAGACCATCACAGCTAGACCATTGTTGCTCCTTGCAATTCCATGTGGAACCCCTTGCATTCTTACTGTTTGCTTAGATGATATAGATTTTCCGTTAACTTCAAAAATGCTTATCCCGTTAAACATTCTAGTTCTAAAAGTCACATGAACAATATTATCATTTGAGCCTGTACATAAACTGTTTGTTCTGAACTCCACTGTATATGACGTAAGCAGTTCTAACTCTAAATCAAATAATTTTAGCTTATCGTTGCCGGAATCGGCAATGATAAGTTTTCCATCAGGTAGAAATCCCTGTCCTCTAACACAACAATCTTTGACATCGTCGCCTGCCTTTAGATTAAAATTTCCAACTTTACGAAATGATTTCGGCTTCGGTATATTCTTATTCTCTTTATCCTTTTCCAAGAGTTTTTTAAGAATTTTATTTTCTGCTTCTATCTGAGTGGTTATCCTGGTTTCCGACTCCAGACTTTCATCTTTTATATAATCTGGAGTTATCGGAATTACTTGTTCGTACTCGGAACGTGTGAATGATAAGCTTTTATATGATGAGAGATCGCTCACGGTGTATGAGAGCTGACTTGCCGCTGTTTTAGAAAGTTTTAATTTGGTAGATGTAACAGAGTTTTTATGATGATTGTTAACTTCTTGAGTTCTTTTACTTTCTTTCGTACTTGGTAAAGTTACAGATGATCTGCCGGGTCTGGTAGATAGAGGGAAAGAACTCTTGCTGACTCGTCTTTCTTTGTTTTTGTCATGTAGAGAATCATCTCCCCTTTTATCCGACTCCTCATCAACTAAATATGGCTTACCATCCTCATCAAAATAATACTTTTGTCCGTATGTGTCCAAAAAATACCTGTTTCCTTTCTGATCCATATAATAGGGCTCACCATTGTCATCGAGATAAAATTTCTCACGATTTTCATCTAAATAGTATGGTTCCCTTTTTTCATCAAGATAAAAGATCTGCCTGTTTTCATTCAGATAGTATGGTTGGTCATTTTTATCCAAGTAGAATGGTGCACCATTATCATCAAAATAAAACAGTAAATCAGAATCTTCCAGATAAAACTGGTTCCCTTTGTTGTCATAGTAACACTGGTTCCCCTTTTCATCGTATTGTAAAGGATTTCCAAATTCGTCAAACTTTTGTTCGTGCTGCAGCAGACGCCTTTGACGCCTCCTTTCTCTTCTTTCTTGTTTCTTTTGCTTCTTTACAGCCGCTCTTTCATCTGCTGCTTTAGCAGATACAACACTTCCCATAATGCGCTATTTGACCCTAATGAAAATGTGAATAGAATGATTATATCTTTAAGGAACTTAACATTAAATGCCTAAAAATTATTATGTGCCTGTGGTATTAAAATTACTCTGTCAATTTCTTTTAAATATCATAAGCAACGAAAAATATTTTTTGATATTTAGAGTTGTAAGAACTTTAAATTTAAATTTTTAATCATTGCTCAACTTCCTTAATTATTCTTTTTAAATACTCGACAAATGTAATTAGAGTATCATCTCTATTTAACCTTAACTACACACTAAATGTCCAGCTTCAATGGTGACAAAACCATGCATGATTTTTTTGTAAAATTATCAAAATTGATAGAATTGATATACTGATTGAATAGAGAGAACAGTCCAGATCATAATCAGAGAGCACACATTGTGCTCGCTAATCTTGGTCTGCACTGGTGGCATGGGTAAAATCAGTTGCCACTAGCTGGATAAAGCTAAAAAAGTGCAAATAAATGAAATAAAAGATTCTTATACTCACGGTTGAGATGATTGTACATCAATTAATCTTCATCATCTTGAGAATGACATGAAAACTTAATTTTACTTTTGACCTAGTGTACAAATTTAATGTACATAAAAATGAATAACCTGTGTAATTTGATAGTGGCAAGAAACAAAAGTGGTCGGATTAATTGTTAAAAGATTGTATGCCTCATTAATTCAATTGTGATCTTCACATTGATTTACAGATTTCAGTACAATTGCTCTTGTTTTAAGGCTGGGAAAAAAATTCAGTTGTTTTTTAATGTCATCTCTTTCATAATTTCATTTTGTAAATGCAAATATATCATCCTTTGATTTTTGAATATAAGTCCTCTAAAAAGTTGGATTTGAAAATTCCTAAAACGTGTCCTCTCATGACCGTTTAAAAGTAATCTATTTGATACTGACCAGTTGCCATGGAAATAAGAGGAAAATTTGTAATATCTCTTACTGTAAACAAATAAGCACCCAAACACTGAATGATTCCCCCCCCCCAAAAAAAAACTCATGAAATCTTAAAAACTAATTTTAAAGAAACAATGAATTTTATGGGGGAAAAAAGGTAATTTTCATAACTACAAAAGAAAAGCCGACATGGTAGAGCGGTCATCATGTTGGACCAATAATATAAGGAAAGCAGTCGACATGGGTTCAATCCTCTTAGGGTAGAGCTGTTGTTTCCGTGAGCAAGAAACTTGACACTTCTTGCTCAGTACCAGTTGGTTCCAGGAATTATTTCCACTAAATTCCCATAAAAAAGCCATTAGTATCAAAATGGTCAGTGCTTTTTACTGGGTACTTTAATAACTTACTCAGGTTTGTTTTTTGTACAAAGCATTAATATTTTCCACCATTTGGTTTTCAGACATCGTCGTATGGAAGCTGTGCGTTTACGTAAGGAAAACCAGATTTACAGTGCTGACGAGAAACGAGCGTTGGCGACATTTAATCATGAAGAGCGGGCGAAAAGAGAGACAAAAATTCTCTCACAGCTGCGTGAAATGGTCAGGAAAAAAATGGAAGCGCGAAAATAGTATACTTTACATCGTGATGATTAATTGAATAATGTATGCTTCACATTATCAGGGAGAAATTGGCAAATAATATTATATTCTGTCAGAATACAAACAGCATTGTGTATGGTTTGATTCAGAGAGGAACATGGTCGGGCATATGTGTTTGAATATTATTCTGTGTATGTGTTGAAAATGAATTTATTGCATTTTAAGTGCAGAGGAATGACAGATAATGAGTAACTGATGGATTATGAATTGTTCACTCAGGTTTTAATACATCAAGATTGTTCTTTTTAATGCAGCAGCAATTAGGTTATCTGGTTGACTGTCATAATTAGACACATTATTAACACCAGTGTAGTATTGACCATTTTAATGGACATAATTGTGTATGATGAAGTTAAGAGTTTATTTAGGTTATACACCTTAAATTTTGTTTTGATGACATGGCTTGAGAATTGTATGACTTTTACATTGTGAATTTTTAGGTGAAAGTGAGAATCAGTTATAAATAATCATGAAATGTTTGGTTGAATTCAGTCAAATTATAAATATAAATCAGTGTTTATACTCATCATGTATATAATTATGACTGTATCATGTGATAGGTATTTAAAATATATGTAAAATTTGATTGTCAAGTTTTTGGACAGGTTCAGACAAAATGTTTGTTGAAATCATGATTTCAGACAAAATGTTTGTTGAAATCATATTGAGTGGTCGTACGTTTATTTCAACTGTTAATTTATTGATCTACATTTGACTTGTATTCAAGTTCATATAATTCTATAATTTCTTTATAGATCTGTAATGTTACAAAGAATTATGTATGCTTTTTGAAAACGTAACACAATCTGTAATGTTAAAAATAAACATAAATGCTTCTGAAAATATAATAAATTCATGCTAGGAATAGCATTGAGACTTGATTGGTGTAAATAATAGATGAGAAAATGAATCTTGACAATGTTATATCCTGATGTAAAAAGAGAAATAATGTGTGAAATGCATGTATCTCTTGCATGTTATAATTACAGCACTTGTCATCAATTTAACATTTTTTGTACATGATTTTGTTAAAGGTTATATGCCCAAAATAAACTATTTTTGTTCAAAGTAATGTGTTTTTTTATCAACACAAGTATGGATGTAGTTGCTGTTTTTGTCTGCCCTACCTTTTCTTCTTAGCAACCACTGGCTTAAATCTATCCAAACGTCATCGATAACTTCATGTAAAATGACCTATGTATTTGAAGAGCATGCAAGTCAATGATTTTTCACAAAATAGTGTCGCTGACCTGCTTTTTTCTGGCATCATGTTTGTCCAAACTATTTGTCAGCAAGCACTGGCTTTAACTACTTGAAGGTTTAGTGTCAAGAGGAGCTGTGTGTACAAGCAACAATCCAGTGATTTTTCACAAAATTATGCCCCTTTAATGCCTTTCAGCTGTCATTTTTGTCTTAGACTATTCCTCAGTAACCACTGACTGGAGTTCATGCATAACTTTATTGAAAGCTTTGTTGCAAACAGGAGCTGTGCCTATTGTTGGATTGTTATAGTCCTGTGATTACCTAATTCAGAAAGATATTGTCAAAATTACAAAGGGCAGTAACTCTGAAATCATGAATAAGAAATTTATGGTTCTTGGACCCTGTACTTCTAAAATGACTGATTTGTGCATGTTATGACTGGAAAGACAAGCTAATTCAGGTGATTAACTTTTAATTTGTTAAACTGGAAGAGGGGGACACAATTTTTTACTGGTGGGAGAAGAATATAATAAATTTCCTGAAAAAGGACATTTACATAAATCCATTATTGCAAGTAGAGATACTTTACATAGAAAGTAACAAAAAAATTGGCCAGATATTGCTTGGACTTGGGCCATGGGTCTTTGGTATGTCGGTCCAGTATGCCTAAACACTACACCACCATGGCTAGATAAAGATTCATCAAAAAGTTGGGAAGTAAGATAAAAACAAATTTTAAAATCAACAATCTTTGTTTTATTCATTTCTCTGTTAATTTTACAGACAATATCACTATAAGATAATACAAAATGTAAATACACAATTAAATTAATAACAAAACCACCTTACTCTGTGCTTTTATATCTTTCAAAAAAAGGGGAAAAGATAACTTTTTCTATAGATTACCACATGTATAACCAATTTATAACAAAATTTCGAAAGATAATTCTTTCTTTAATCTCATACAAAATTGAAAGTACATTGTACACGACTATACTTGTTTTTTCTTCTTTTTTTTAAAAATCTTTATCAATTTTTTGCACTTATTATATAAGAGCAATAAAAGATTATTTTAATTTCTCTCACACCTGATTTTGACATAAACTTATTTTACCATCCATAAACCATTCTTCCTCATCTCTACTCATCTCTAAATCATTTATTAAACATAATTTGTCAAGTTTACAGTCACACAAATATTGTAAAGGATATAATATTACAGTGAGTCATTCCAGCTTTACTGATGGATGAACACCTGAAGTGAGCTTTCTAAGCATTATTTCAGACAGGAGCAGGCCATTGATTTAAACTGCTGACCTTCCATAAGCCAGCTGGATAGCTTCCTCGCATGAAAGAATCCAAAATCCCCCCTGGCAGGATTTGAACCTTCAGTGGTAAGGGGCATATGGTTCTAAGTTAGCAACCTTAACAACGCAACCATGGACGTCCCTTTTTATATCGAGAACACCAACTTTCATATAATCTGAGGAAAGAATATGAGCCGTGCCATGACAAAACCAACATAGTGGGTTTGTGACCAGCATGGATCCAGACCAGCCTGCGCTATCAGTTTCTCTACTTGTTATAGGGTTGGTAAGTGAACAGCAGGGATCCTGATCAGACTGCGCGGATGCGCAGGCTGGTCTGGATCTATGCTGGTCGTAAACCCATTACGTTGGTTTTGTCATGACACGGCTCATGTATCTTCATTCATTTGACGTTCAAAGGTTTACGTTTTTTCCCACCGTTCTTAGGCTTTAGTTGCAAATCATAAATAAATATATTTCACCTACTACAGCATAAATATTGTCAAAAGATTATTCATCATTCCTGTATGCATTCATATTACCATATTTCAAAGTTTTATAATTTCAATTCAAATATTGACAATAAAATGACAAAAAAATAAACAAATACCAAAATATTTCAAAGTGTTAAGTGCCACTTAGAAATTTCACAATAATAAATATCACAAAACAAAATAAAAATACGAAACTTAGTCAAGTATCACATGACAAACCATAAAGTTTAATAATCAACTTTTGACAATTTTAACAGTTCTTAAATATGTTTTGACAATGTGAATTTTACAGAAATCTTTTCGACTATACATTATATTATTTGTTATAAAGATTTTTGACAGGTTATATGGCCCTATATAAATGGTTGTTTGTAAATATAACCCGAGAAGGCTGCAGATATTGCAAACAATTGTTTATATATGGGCATATAACCTGTCAGGAATATTTATAACAAATTTATAATACTGCAAACTTCCTTTTTAAAAGAAAAAAGTGAGATTTCTTCATGAACTGACAGCAGCCATGTATATAAAACTACATAAACATTGTGATTATCCAATGAAAAGTGATGTTAAAAACAGAGAAGTAAGAAGCTATAACTGTAGATCATATCTTTGAAAACTTACAGACTTCAACTGAAAACCATTGAAAGACTTGTAGATATTATTCATACAAATTTGCCATACCAACTTCAGCCAACAGAAAAATAAGCAACATTTTTTCCAATCTTCTCAATAATGCAATAATCTTCAATTAAAATGTCAATTACCTAACCATACCTAATTAAACTACCAAGCTATTACACTGATATCTGACAAATATGTAACACATTTGAGCTGTCTGTCACGACAAAACCAACATAATGGGTTTGCGACCAACATGGATCCAGACCAGTCTGCCCATCTGCGCAGTCTTATCAGGATCCATGCTGTTCGCTATCAGTTTCACTACTTGTTACACAGTTCGTAAGTGAACAGCATGGATCCTGATCAGACTGCACAGGCTGGTCTGGATCTATGCTGGTCGCAAACGCACTATGTTGGTTTTGTCGTGACGCAGCTCATTTTTACATCACAAAATATAACTTAAAAAGCAGGTCTCCAGATTTCTAAAATAAATTTGAAAGAAAAAACAAACAAAAAACACCAAAACAAAAGCCTATAAAACCTGAACTATTTTATAAATTAAGAAATTTAATAATTAGTTAAAATTTATGAGGCATTTTCCATGTTTTCAGTAACAGATGGTAGAAATTTTTCACTTTTATCCACATATTTCTACCCTGTTTCTAATGGGAGTATTGAATTTTTTTAGAAAATTATTTTAACAGATCTAAAATAACTGATATGGACAGGAAGTACCTCATGTAAACTTTTGTTACGATATCTTCACTTAAAATTATATGAAAATGTAAACACCACAGGTTTTTCGTGTGTTTTTTTTCTGCATAAAAATTCATCATATATCTGAAGACATGCTGCTTTAAAGGTCAAAGGTCAGCAAATGTTTAACATTACACTCGTATAATATTGCATCCTCAGGATTGCATTTTTTTTCTACAGATTTTATACAAAAAATAAAAGTATTAGGAGAAAAAAACAAACAAAAATAATGAAATTAATGTTAGTAATTGGCAGATACTAATTAAGGAAATGAAAATGATGAGTTAATTAACTTAATTAGCAGTATCAATTAACTCTTTAATTAAAGGAACTCCACTGAGGTTAACATGAAATTTTAATTTTTCACACAGATAAACATGAGCACTTAAAACAGAAATAAATAAAATATAACCAAGAAATATACAAGAAATACAATGAAAATCATATATTTGTGCTATTCTCAGTCTGATTTGAGTGAAAAGCATTTAAACGCTTTTCAATTTTTCACACTAGTTATTAGTTTAGATCTACATCAAATGGAGTAATAATCTCAAAAAATTATTTCCAGTCACATCATGTCAAAAAACCTGTGGAGTCCCTTTAACTCTTAAAAACAACTCAGTGAGGTCCCTTTAACTCTTACAAAAACCTCAGTGGAGTCCCTTTAACTCTTACAGCACAAGTAGAAAGCCAGGTCTGTCTACAAATCTGTTGAAATATCTCATTAATAATAGTGTTATAAATGAAGTACATGCTCAACAATATCGTTCTTTTCTGGTTGCCAAGGGTAAACAAACCAAACACACACAAAATCTGGTATAAGTGTTGCCAGATTATACGATAGCTGATTTTATTTTATATTTTGACCACAAGATCGCGTTATCTTTTATTTTATTCGTAGGCAATTCTTAGAGCTGATGTTTGGCTGGATTCCAAGTTATGCCAACACTTTAAACATCATATAGCAACCTCCCTGTTTTAACGGGTGGAGGTGGAACTCAAGAATCCTCCATACATCTTTACTAAACAATAAAGAATACATGGACAGGGGTTTCATATCAAAAAGTCATATGTCAACTTTCTAGTTTTGCTGGTGGAGAAAGACCTTGGATGCTCTTTCCGTGCTTTGTTTCAGGCACAAATTGGTAACAGAGTAGAACCAACAATGATCATAATTTTCTCATCAAAAAGAATCCAAAGTACCAGAAAGAATCCAAAGTACCAGAAAGAATCCAAAGTACCTGTTGGGATGACCTGACTTTATACTTGTGGCATTGGTATACAAGACACTGTGTGAACACTGTAAATGCTAAACCCATTAAATAACAATGAAGAAACAATGGATGAAAAGGAAATAAAAAAATTGGTGTTTATAAACAATCTGTTTTAATCAAAATTGATTAATTCACATACAACAAAGCCAAAAAATAATGTTAACAAAGGTAACAAATTACAAAAACAATTCTCTCATTTTCCATGATCCTGACTGAGTCTCAAATATCCAAATCTTTCAATCATTTTTAAACTTTGTAAAAACATCAAAGAAAACTTTAAAAACTTTTTCGAGTACAAAAAGGTTAAATTTTCTTTCCATACATATACTATATACTACAGTCTTATATAATTGAAATCAAAATCTTATTTGATCATTTAACCTTTGTTTACATATGCTATCATAATCAACACAATATCATATTAAGTCTTTTACCCTCGGGCCTCCTAAAATTGTATAATGGACTAGTCGACATTTGATTTTGGAACTGTCCGTTTTAATTACTAGGGATTTTGACATTAAAATGTTCAATATAAACATCGAGCACTATACAAGTATTGTAAGACAGCATGGTGGTGATACATTCCTGTTACTACTTTCACTTAAATTTTACAAAGTGAAAGGCCCATTGCTGTTTTATTTCATTTCTCAAAAAAAAAAATTTATTTTTGGATGCCCTATTACAATTTCAAAAATGACATCATCCACAATATAGCTAAACAATATTTTGCTTCTTTTGTTAACTTTTTTTTTTGGTCAATTTTTACAATTTTAGTGATTCAGAATTTTGTATTAAAGTGAAAATTCTACTTTGTTTACATTTTCCTACCTTTATGAAAAATTATTTCACAGTCAGCGTTATTCTCATGTTCAGGTGATAAACATCTAATATGCTTGAAAATTATTAATAGTTTTTAAAATATTACAAAACACATTTTTGCCTTTCTAAAGATTAAAAATGGTAATAATTACTGAGACTTTCTGTGTCTTTAAATAACATTCAAAATCTCAAAATTATTCATATATACTATTGGTAAACAACATCAACAAGACAGTCTTAAATTTACAAACACCTATATCATAATGCTTGCCCTGACAGCTGAAATAAAATAAATGAAAAAAGGGAAACATCAATGTTATAATATTATTCCCCTTTTCAATTTATCAAAACTGTTTGATAAATAATATTGATAACAAAGAGATTAATTAAAAAAATACAAAATCCAACTTCACAACACATATAAAGTTTCAATTTAAACTTATTTTGATCATTAAATATTTTTAAATAAAAGTGAGGTACCGATAACATATTTATATGTTGTTCTTTTGTGTGCCAATATTTGAGTCGTGCCATGACAAAACCAACATAGTGGGTTTGCGACCAGCATGGATCCAGACCAGCCTGCCAATCGTGTAGTCTGATCAAGATCCATGCTGTTCACTATCAGTTTCTCTACTTGTAATAGGGTTGGTAAGCGAAGAGCATGGATCCTGATCAGACCACGAGCTTCGCAGGCTGGTCTGGATCCATGCTCGTCGCAAACCCATTATGTTGGTTTTGTCGTGACGCGGCTCAATTTAATATAATGAAATTCAAATTAGGAATAGAATTCATATGAAGGGGCAGTGCTGTCAGCTTCAGCTAGCTCCGCCCTCACACAGCTTGAATCTACTTTGTAAGCATCTGATTGGTCAGCTGAATTAAACAAGTCACAAGCACCTGTCGATGCTGCCACCTGGTGACAGGAAGTAGATGATGCAGTTTCACAGGAAGTAGGTGGAGCTGTGGTTGTTTTGTTATTCAAATTGAGGGTAATGTCCTCCTGTGGAGGTTGGAAAATCACACTTGGAATGCTGCTTGAAGCTTCGGGATCTGTGACGTCTGCTTCAAAGCCAAGGTCAAGATCATCTGGTATCTGTAAAGCCTTATCTGTGCCTAAAATAGGTGTAAATTCTATCATAAAGTATGCATAAGGCATAGAGTAATAATACCTGTTATAGTTTGCATACAAAACAAAATCCATTACATAAAAGAATTTCTCACAGGTATTTTGAAAACACATCATATCATGTTATTATTGTCCTTCACTGAAACATATACTGTATTAACATGTAGCTTCAGTGCAATAGATAAATTTTCAAAATTAAGTTACTTGAATAATGAATAAGAAAATATAACCACATCAGATTCTGAAGAAAACAGAGTTATAAGGCCACATTTTCAGAAGGCTACCTGGGATCTTTCCCTGCCAGGTAAATTGAATGTTCTACATCATCTTAAAAATATGACTGTGGTGAAAATGTAAAAGCAACAGCAGCTGTAACCTTTCACCTTTACACACTAGGAACACATTAGTGAATAGCAGAAAAATTTGACACCAATGAAATACAAAATTCATGACCAACTCCAACCCCACAGGTACAATCCCCATAAAAAGTCCCTTTCTGTACATGACATTACCCCTTACTGCTTTTTTGTGCAAAAACTAACCAGTGCATTCACAATACAGTGCAGAAAGATGATCAGATCTAATTTCCCACACCAAATCTCCTTGACTCCCTGCAAGATAAGGGGCTGGAATATACTAATGACTTGACAAATACCAATTTTTCAATCTTTCACAATAATTTCTCATACCTTTTCTTTGATAAAAGAGGACATAAGTGCTGGTAAATTCATCTTCACCAGGATGAGTCTCTGTCACGGTTTCATCGTTGTAGTAATACCATTGTCCGCCTACAGGATGTTTAGCGTATGCTGTGTAATGACCAGAGTTGGCACCTGTAATGGAATAAAAATAACCATTCTTAAGCCTTTCCATGCTTCATATTTTTAAATGGACATGTCCATCATTCAATTAAACCAAAACCATTATTTAAACATAATAAAATATTATGTCCTGACTGAATAGTGACCAGTGCAGACCATGATCAGACAGCAAATAGATTCAGACTGATCTTGGTCTGCACTTCTTGCATATGTAGATTCATTTGCCACTGGCAGGTTTAAGATTTATATTGTAACCTGCCAATAAACTTAAATAAACCACGACTCAATGTTTCAAGTAGAAACTGTACGATAAACATTAAAGAACATGAAAAACGTCAAAATACCCTAATTTTGGTTTGTAAGTTCCCATGCTGACAACTTTTCTTAGAAACTTCCATGACTGTATCAGATATACTTAGAGAGTTTCACACTTTACAAGTCTAAAAATGCTATGTGTTGCCTAATCTGTAATTTTGGAAGTTACATGAAACACAAACAGGTCTAGACAGTGACAGAGAGGACATCCTGACAAAGTCTTTTTATTTTCTTCATGAAAACTTCTGCTCACAAGCAATTTTTAACACAACACAAAAGTTTAGGGAATCAGCAAGACATTTAGATTATTTAACAAGGAATTTCTTACCTCCGAAATGACACACAAGGCTGTATAAATTATACATGAGGTTCTTGGTCTTTGGTCCCGAGATAAAACAATTGAGATCAAGGTTATCGATAGGGAAAACAACTTTGTTGTCTACTTTTGTACTGGACAGTTCATGGAATACAAATCTGTAATAAAACAGTTCATAACATTTTGTAACATGTATTTCACTATATCAATGTTATGTGAATCTTGATCTCTTTGGACAAATTAAAGCAGTATATAAACAATGAAAAAGATTCACACAACGTATTAAATTAGGCAGTATATACTTTTTTAAATCTCCAACTTCACTAACAGATTCAAATTATGACTAACATTTTTATTTCAAAATCTCAAAGTAAAAGTCAATTGGTATAATTTTATTTTGGAAGACAAGACATTTCTCTTCATTGTTTTACAGAAAAGTGGAATCGCCTAACTCTTCTTCTTTTCTGGGGGGGGGGGACTTAATTGCTCCCTACCAGATTCAGAACTGGATTCCTCAACCAACAGAGGTTAGTTAAGTTAGTACATCTCATTTTATCACATGAAGAACTAAATGTAAAGAAACTATAAACTGGTACAGGACCTGTTTTTGAGGAACAAGTTGTCCAGTAAATGCAATTTCTGATAAGGAAATAATTTCTGTATAAACCAACCTTTTAAGATGTATTATAAGTGTATCAGGATACTGCCATACTGTCATGGTTTTCTTGGCTCTCTGATTCTCCTTACAGTGAGGACAGAACCATGGATTCTGTTCATCTAATTCTTCACTGTGTAAAAAACATACAATACATTTTTCCACTGAATAATCTGAAATTTAGCATTCCAAAAACACACTTGAGACTATTTGGTTGGAAATTTAGTTTAAAAGAACGTAGTTTGCTTGAATTGATAAACATTTTGGTCATAATAAGACACAAATGAACTCAAATTTTTAGAATATTTGATTGACCAATCAGACAGTACCTTTGTGTGAAAGCACTGAAGCAGTCTAGTAGAGTGACTGGTTCATGAGAACGTTGTTTCTCCATAGATCTATGCTGATTAACACGCTGATACTCAGACACCTGATCGTCTGTCACGGATTGTACGCTGACAGCTAGATTATCACCAGGACGTAATATAGCTTCACCATCTGCAGGTATTTCACACCCTGTACAGTGTTCCATGTACAGACATCGTGAGCAGTGTAAACCCTGGTAACAGTATCACAAATCAGTTACACATTCAATACAGTGCAACATGAGTATATATATATATATATGAACATCTTCAACTTAGAGATAATTTTATTATTTTGTACCAGTGATTTTGCTGCTTTTTACCATTGAAAAAATAAAGACACGAGTCTGTGAAATAAATGCTTTCTGACCTCCAAATTTTGGAACTTAATGGAAGCCCTGGGACTAGTAAAGATTGCTGACCGCTTGAGTTCAAATCCTGTCAGGTAAGCCAGGGTTTCCTTGATCAAGAAACTTGACATTCATTGCTTAGTACTGGTTGATTCAAGAAATGGATTCGAGGGTATTTCAATAAGCTTATAGCTTCCAAAACAATCAAACTTAAATAAATTTGTATAAACTAAAAATTCACTTACCGTGCCGTCAGTGAGCAATATTTTAAAGTTGTTCATGTCAGGTCTAATGGTTTGTATACATGTATAGATATGTTGACCAGTCAAGTTACTAGGTAGATTCAGTAAAGATGGATGTGCAAACAGGTATGGATTATCTGTCCCTGATATGTCTTTCTCACAGCGATAAGAAATAGGTATAGCAACAATCCTGTAAATATAAAATAAGAGCTGTCAGTTAGACAGCATACTATACTATTCTCAGTGCTTGATAGTTGAAACAAGTGCCCAAGTTCAAAAAAGAGCTACTATTGTCAAAATCCATATAAGAGTTATGGCCCTTGCACCACTAGTGACCTTCTATTATGTTCTAAAATATGTGTATGAATTTTCAATCCATTTCCTTCAGTAGTTTTGGAGATATTGACTTGCACGCAAAAATGTTACCAAACTGATGCCAACGCCTATGCAAATACAATAGATGTCCCTATTCTTTGAATAGTCAAGCTAAAAACATCATACATATCTTGATACTCATTATCTGCCATAATTTTCTTATTTTTTGGGCTTTATAGTTAAATTGACTGTTTTAATCATAAGGAAAATCCTCCGCTTAACACCTTTACAGTTGGAATGATATTATCATGCATTATCATGTTTCATTGTTATACAAAATTATTTGTGAAGAAACAAAGCACCCACCTTTCTTTCCCCACCTCGTTTACTGAGCAGTGCTGGGAAAATGAACTTAGTATATATCTGATCACAAACTGCTGGAGTAACAAAGTAGCTTTGTGCAAAAATAGCATAGATATTTCTAACTTACTAATTAATACCTTGCAAGAACTTTTTGCAGAAATATTTCCATCCTTTATCATGTGTTTAATAATCCAAAGTCAAAAATCACCAGGTAATTGCCTCAGGTATGGGAAGGTATTGGTTACAAATAAAAAGTGCAATCTCATCCACATTTATTTTGTATGCATACAATAAACAAGAGGGCCATGATGGCCCTGAAGTCGCTCACCTGTATATAGCTCCCCCCCCACACCCCGACAGGGCCAATTTTAACCCAAGGGCTTTTATTTGAACAAACTTGGTAAACACCCATAAGATGATGTTTCATGCTAAACATCTAAGCTCTAGCTCATTGGGTTTCTTAAAAGCAGATTTTTTAAGTTTTTATCATACACATATAGTGAAATAAAATGACACCCCTGGGGCGGGGCCAGTTTTGACCCCAGGGCTTTCATTTGAACAAACTTTATAGACACTTACTAGAAAATGTTTTCATGCTTAATATCTAAACTCTAGCTATTTGGGTTTTTTTCAAAGAAGATTTTTAAGTTTTTTGCTATACACATATAAGGAAAATCAATGACCCCCGGGGCTGGCCAATTTTGACCCCAGGGCTTTTATTTGAACAAACTTGGTAGACACTCATTAGAAGATGTTTCATGCTAAATATCTTAGCTCTAGCTCTTTGAGTTCTTTAAAAGAAGATTTTTTTAAGTTTTTACTATATGCATATAGGGAAAATCAATGACCCCCTGGGGCGGGGCCAATTTTGACCCCGGGGCTTTTATTTAAACAAACTTGGTAGACACTCATTAGAAGATGTTTCATGCTAAATATCTAAGCTCTAGCTCTTTGGGTTCTTTAAAAGAGATTTTTTAAGTTTTTACTATACGCATATAGGGAAAATCAATGACCCCCTGGGGCGGGGCCAATTTTGACCCCAGGGCTTTTATTTGAACAAACTTGGTAGACACTCACTAGAAGATGTTACATGCCAAATATCTAAGCTCTAGCTCTTACGGTTTTTTAAAAGAAGATATTTAAAGTTTTTTCTTTCGGTTGCCATGGCAACCAGAGTTCTGCATGGAATTAAATTCTTTGAACACTTTTTAAAGGTGACCACCAAAGGAACATTCCTGTGAAGTTTGGATGAAATTGGCTTAGTGGTTTATGAGGAGATGTCATTTAAAGTAAAAGTTTACGAACGGACGGACGCCGGACGGACGCCGGACAAAAAGCGATCACAAAAGCTCAGCGATCACAAAAGCTCACCCTGTCACTTTGTGACAGGTGAGCTAAAAAAGAAAGTTGTACAGAATATATGTTAATGTATATATGAGATAATATTGTAAACTAACCTTGTTTTTGGTTTATGATTGGCAGCATTTGTTAATGGAACAAAATCTTCCGTCATATCAGCTGGTGTTGAACATACCTGTATAAAACAAATATGCTTTACAAATTTGTTATATTACTACTTTTTTCTGTTACATCTAAATTTTATTTTTCCTTAATATAATTCTATTAGCATACTTGAATTTTTTTGCAAAAAGATATTGTAGGAAAATAACTAAGTTTGTGAAACACTATACAAGCAGCTGCTCAAATTGAACATTTTATTATTAACTAGAAGTATGTCTATCGGATTGGTTTAAACATATTTATTTAAGCTTGGTTCTTGCAACTTATATTAATCACTTTCGAGTCCGCTTCCTGGAACCAAGCAGTACTGTTGTCATATGAAGAAACATGGTCGTGACCCGATTAGGGCTCGAACCCATGATCCCTGGGTTGAGAGGTAGACACCTTTACCACTAGGCCATAGGCACAGCTCCCCTTCTATTGGAGATCAATTCCCCCTCATTCTAATATTTTGTAAGTGTATGAACAAACAGCATGATAGACAGACAAGGGGAAATAAATCTATACAACCTCTTCAGTTGAGGCATAAATAAAAACCACCAAGTAACAAAAATGGCCACTTCCAAATATTTATTCAACAGTATTGACTTCCAAAACTGTTCTGCAATATGATAGTAAGGAAATTTATGAACAATTTTATATCACTTACAAAATGAAGATTTCAGGAAATTATTTTCATTGTTTAAGATCCTGACTAAAACACATACTTACAGGACAACAGTATACAGAATCTCTATAATGCTGGGCAGACATCTGAAATTTAAATACTGAAACACTGAAATCATTTGTTTAATTCATCCATTTATTTACTAAACATATCTGTTTCTGTAATTCAATGACTTGGCCTTCTATTTTATTCAAAACTTATATGAAATAAATGGACAATGTTAAATACATTTTTAAATTAATGGCTTATTCAACTTTCGAAATAAATAGTCGAAGTTTATGCACACCTTAAAATAAAAGACTTATGCAAACTTTTGAATAAATAAGGTATGCAAAAATTGGAAATTAATGGACCATGCAAACTTCTAAAACTTAATTTATGCAAATTTTTTAAAATTAATAGCTTATGCAACAAAGATAAGCTTCTTTTTTAGCTTTATTGTGATGAAAACTTATTAAAACAACTCTTGACTCCACTTCCTGGAACTAACCAGTACTGGTGTCACATGAGTAAGAAGCAAATATTGAAAGAGTGTAAGTTTAATACTGAATTTATTGAACCACTTGAATAAAATTATATTATGCAAGCCTCTAGCAAGCATATTATTATCATATTCAACAATTACCAAAAATAAATTTAGTAATGAACTTACCCGAATATAATATACTCAAAATAAAAAAACTTTTCAAGTGAAAAAAGTAACATTTTTCATTGACACCCCTTTCGTATAACATTCAGCGCGTCTTAACCCTATGTTTGTATAACACGAATGACGTCATGCAACACCATTTTTACTGAGTCGCAAAAGTGGCTTGGGTACATGATAAACATGTTTATGACCAAAATAGAACCCTAACTAGTGACCTCTCAAGCAGATATATTAACACTGTTACTATAAAATATTACCTCTAAACAAGCAGAGCAGAAAGTACCGCCACATGTTGTGTGAACCATCAGCTCATTCTCCGGCATTTCTTCGAGACATATAGCACAAGATTTCCAGTCATCTGTAGTGACAGTAGAACTGGTTACCGTGGATTTCTCCACGGCTTCACAACCCTCTGCTCTCGCTATATCTTCACTTATATCAAATCCTGAAATAGAAATGTCTTTATATCAATGCTCATTTAACCTGTTTACATCTTAATACTCTTTTTTACAAATTTTGTTTGTTTGTTTGTTTCATTTTACAACCTTTTCCCAACAGTATTTCAGTCATATAGGTGGGTAGTTTCCTAACCATCGTTCCTGGAGAGTTACACCAGTACTAGACTACCTTCCTCCGTGCTAAACTACCAAAGCATCTCCCGGGGATCAACCCACACCAGAGAAGTAACTGGATTAGAAGTCATCGACTCCTAACCTCTCGACCACGGAGGCGGTCTTTTTTTTTTCTTAATAAAGTAACTGACTGACTGGTGTTTTTTCCTTGCTAATTTTTTTGGAAATGAGGGTAATCTTAGAAATTGGGGGGGGGAAGGGGTTGGGGAATAGGTAGTACTTGCCATAGGGAAAAGATCTGTATACAAGACCTATCTAAAGACATCTACAGAAGATAAAACCACAAAAGTGTCCATAAGTCACAAAAATCCCTACATTCCACTGTTTTGTCAGTCTACAGAGGGACAGCATGGCAGCAGGACAATAGGATGGTTTTATGCCTTTCTCCAAAGTAGTAGGGACATTACATCAATGTCACTAAATGTCAACAAAAAACGATCACCTTTATTTTAAGAGGTCACCTAGGAATCCCCTAACCACTATTTATGCACAATAAATCATACAATGAAGCAAGATTTACCTGTAGCAGATGTTGTACTATCTACCACTGGATTTTCACCAGTTTCTGTTTCCAGACTCCCTCGTCTTTTGTCCGACCCATTTTGATTCCATTCCCACAATCCTGTGCCTACCATATCATCCAAACTTCCTGAATTCTTAAAATCTGCTGACCCAGATTGACCATAGTAGGGATCTGCTTCAGAGAATGTTTCAGAGCCCAAATTAACGTTACTGTTGACAAAATACGAGTCTACGTTGTTAAAAGAATCGACTTGAGAGGCGAGGTTGTCTTGTGACGTGGCCGGTGTAACATTCATGGCAGAGTGTGGAGGGTTCTCATTACCATGACAACTACCGGATGTAGACTGGTCCATCTCGAAAGCATAAATTGTTCGAGAAGAGTCGTTGATGTATCGCAGCATGGTGTTATCCTCCTGTTAAAAGTAAAAAGGGAATTTATAATCTATCATAATTATACATATACAAATGTAACTAGAAACTTTCATTAATTTACTCAAAAACAGCTTTTAGGCAGGAAAAGTTTATGGATTTTCTGCACTCTTTTTTGTGTGTTATTTTTGTTTTATAAGATATATCAAAGATTGACACTTCATATTTTGAAATGATTATGAAATACTCGCAAATTTTTGACAAGTTATCAAGTGCCTTTTTTAAGTATTCTAACTCATACACTATGGGCTAATTTTCTGCTATTCTATTCCAAGAGAAATGCACTATATGCAATAGTTATTTTTAATTGTGAAGAAAGGTTGTAATGATTAATGAATCACTCTCATGTCCGCTTAACGAAAATAACCAATACTGGTGTAACATGAGTGACCCGAGTACAGACCGAACACACAATCTCCCAAGATGAGAGACAGTAACCTCACCTTCTAGGTCATGATGTCTCCTACATTTAGATAAATTAATATAATATGAGTTGCGCCATGACAAAACCAACATAGTGCGTTTGTGAACCAAGCCATTGACCCAGACCAGCCTGAGCATTCTGCCCAGTCTGAATCAGGATCCATGTTGTTCCCTATCAGTTTCCTCTACTTGTAATAGGGTTGGTAAAGGGAACAGCATGGATCCTGATCAGACTGCACGGAAGGCAGGCTGGTCTTGGATCCATGCTGGTCGCAAACGCACTATGTTTGTTTTGTCGTGACACGCGGCTCATATAAATCATATCTTACCAGGTCTTCGAGAGATGTGCCAATTCAGCACCTCCAGCTATAATGATGTCAGTGGGATTTCCACCAATCAGATTACACAGCTCCTGTTTGACCTTGAAGTAGTTTTATCTTGTTTGTGCATCTCCAGTAACACATGTGTAGCTTCTCCCATTAATGGTATAATTGTTACACCTGAAAATTGTATTATTAATGCAATATTATAACAAGAGCCGGTTGAACCGAGTGATGCTCCCCGAATAGGTTTTGGACACAGGAAGGTATACCTCTTGATGTGTCAGAGTTATGTCACAGACAAAGTTCAAAGTGTAAAAACAACCCAAATATTGTGCACGACACATTGTCTCAATATGGTGATCATTTTTGTGAAATAGTTGTAAAATCCGACTTCAAATAATGAAGTTATGCGCCTGACATTATTTTGCTGCAAGGTAATGCTGTGACCAAGACCTTCAAGATAGTGACCCAAATGTTGCATGTGACACGTCATCTTAATATAATGATCATTTCTGTGAATTACTTTTAAAATCCAACTTCAAATAGCGAAGTTATGGGCCGGACACGATTTTGCTGCAAGGTCATCCTGTGACCTTGACCTTCAAGGAAGCGACCCACATGTTGCGTGCGACACATCGTCTCAATATGTTGAACATTTCTGTGAAATATTTTTAAAATCCGACTTCAAATAACAAAGTTATGGACCGGACACGATTTTGCTGCAAGGTCATGCTGTGACCTTGACCTTCAAGGTAGCGACCCAAATGTTGCGCGCGACACGTCGTCTCAATATGGTGATCACTTCTGTGAAATAATTTTAAAATCCGACTTCAAATAACAAAGTTATGGGCCGGACACGAATTCGGGACGTACGTACGTACGGACTGACGGACGGACACACAACCCGACGACTATATGCTCCCCCGAAATTTTTCGGGAGCATAATAATGTAATGAAATTTAAAGACATGCTTTCTCACATTTTGCTTATAAAAATTGTACTGAGATCTAAACTGAACACATAAAATATGGATTTCTTACATAGATCAACTGGGTTACATAAAATAGAAAGATTTTAAAGAAATATCCCAGAAATAATATGAAAATCATACTTTTGGGCAATTTGCAGCCCAATTTGAGTGAAAAACACTTTTCGCTTTTTTTACAAAGTGATGAGAAAGCTGAAATTTTGCACACAATTCATAGTACTTCATATCCTGGTGAACAGTCCACCATACCAGCTTTCCTAGGTGCCTAACCAGTATTTAAATAGGACCAATTTCTATGCAAGTGACCAACTACTAATCCAACATAATTTCTGAATCATCAACTTCGAGAGACAAATGACCATTAAACTAAATGTCAGAGATCAAATTGTCACCTTAGTGCAATAACGTAATAAGTCCTTCTAAATTGAATAGCAGTTAATCAGTAACAAATCATTATGGAGAAATTCCGCCTCACCTGAAGATCGTACCTACGACCCTGATGCTAACTCTGAAGGCTAAACAGGCAGACTTGATTAAAAATAAATAAAGTAACTTACAGAGTTGTCTTTCCATGGCATGAGGGATAGGTACAGAGAGATACATGAACGGTTCAAATGTTACAGACACCTGGTTACATTGTGCACATACAACCTGAAGTTAATAATACTGTCTTAAATAACATAATGGTATTTACAAAACAATTTTGGTGTAGATTTTTTGAAGACTGAGGGAGAAAGCACATGTCCCTTTTTTTGCTTTCAATCACGTCTTTAGATTTTATAATTCATTCGTTTTTTTTTTGTGTAAATGATTTAAAAATGAACAAAGGCTTGACTTAGAATTTTGTTCTCCTGAGCATTTTAAACTATAAAAACATACAAATAGAAAATACAAATCTGCTTCAATATCAATAAATTAAAAAAAGTGCTCTATTATAAATAAATTAAAAAAAAAAGAAAATAGGATTACAATTAAATGGTACATACAGTAGATTTAAACTGCCCTTGAAAAGTGTCCACAACTACACTGTCATTCCGCCTTAAATATTTCTGCCAGGCATCTTCGGCTGCTAGAACTTCAGCCGTTGTGTAACATGCTCCCTCAGCCAGGGTCCTCGGCACTCGAGGTACGACCTCTCCGGTGTCGTTATCATCCGACACCTCCATATCGTTATCTTCTTCTTGATCTTCTATATCACATTCAACGTCACTATCCACGCTCGGACTAGCTTCTCGCATACACGACACTCTCTCGACTTGTTCAACATTTTTTGGTTTTCGAACATTTAATGCTTCGGAGATGAGAACTTCTTTCTGAATCTTACATATCTCCTGCATCTGCAGATTTTTCTCTGTACCTTCAAACTTCATCCTCTTCACGCCACTCAATGAAAAACAGTCCTCTTTTTCTGAACCCACGCCTGAACTAGAGCCACAAGCTCCTTTTGGTGATTTCTTTTTATCTGCTCTGATATTCACATCTTTCACTTTCTTTGGCATTTCAAATTCGTCACTTTTGGTTGTCACTTCCATAACGTTATTTATCAAATCTTCTTCGTCAACGTTTTCAATTCTGTCATTAGTGTGTCATGTTTGGAGAATTTGTCCGAGTCCGTAGTTACCGACTCTTCCATATATTCTGTTGCTAAGACATTGGTGTTTAGAGTTTTAGTCTCCTTGGCATACAAGTTTTCAAGAGACGGTACACTTGTTGTTGGTATTGCATTGTTCAAAACGATTGATTCAGATTGAGACCCTGATATCTTTACCTACACTAGCGCCTTTCTGTTCTATATCACAAATGTCAGATTTCAGACTAGCTGAAATGTCATTCTTCCCACCTATTTGACTAGCTCTATCATCCATTTGTAACCCTGTATCAAATTCATCAGTTTCATCAACATCACCAGATGCTTTACAGACTAGATCAATATCACTAGAAGCTTTCACCAAACCACTCGCACATTCGTCACTTTTACTGCGAAAGTCCTGTAAACTGTGAACACGTTTAAACACCTCCGATCCTGAACTCTCACACTCAGTGTTAATCTCATGATTACCAATATTAATGTCATCAGATGACGAAACATCACAGACTTTGTCCCCTAGTTCGTTAACGACCCTCGGAGACAGTCCAACATTTGATTGACTCACAGTTGGACTTGAGCGTAACTTTAAGTTTTTCATCACAGAGCATTGTTCAGATTCCGAACTTTGTTCAGATATAGTGGAATGGTTACTATCCTCCGATATTGGATTTACCGTAAAACCCACGATATTTGACCCACTTTTCCTCTTCTCATAATACTCGTTTTTCAAGTCCCCGCTCACACATTTCTCCGATTTTGATTCTTTCATATTATCAAAGGTCAAGGATGAATGGCTGGTAACAGCATTTTTTGATTTATCGTTTATCTTGCTCTCTTCTTCAGCTAATGTCAGATTGGATGAAGCCCTGTTATTGATGTTATGCTCAAATGTGATTGGTTGTTTTTCACAACTAGGTCAAGCTTCTGTGTTCTGATTGGTCGACTGACTTTTAAAATTGAGCTGCTCGTGTAAACTGTCAAGTAGAAGTGCTCACAGGGGATTCTGTCATCTTTTTTCCTTTCCCACTATGTATATAATATAACAAGGGATACAACTCAAAATTGCTCAATTCATGAAAAGGTAAATAGAACGCAGTATTCAACAGTTTTTTTTCTTTTGATTGTTGGACATTGATGAAAAAATCGATAATTTCAACAACAAAAAAATGACTCACTTTGTTACATGGACAAAATAATATTAAAAATAACCCTTCATGTTTCATTTTTACACATGTTCGTAAAATTTCGGTTTGTAAAATAATTTTACATAATTTTAAATTACACGTTTAAAACGACATCTAATGCAAACGTATGCTCATATAAGAAAGTTTAATAATGTAATCGGTTAAATATCAATCATCCACCACCATCAATGATGCAATCATTAACTTCTGGTACAAATTAATGTAACAATTATTGTTTGTTTTGATAATTTCTATCCTCGGCTTCCATTTTGATGTTGCCCGTATGTTGCATGCGTTACTGTAATCCAACTTCTGTTAGTGACTGTCAATTTCATTGGCTAATGAGTAATATTAATCCGGATAATAACAGCGTATAGCCGCAACCAATAGCGTTTTTTTCATCAGCCAATAAAAATACTCAGAACATAAACACACCTGCAAAATGGACGACAACTTGACAGCCAATGTAAATATTGAAATGTAATAGCTATTTCCTGCAATGTTACAGGTTTTAATGAAGTGTTTGTAGTAGAACTTGGGTAATGACTAGTTCATATATTAACTTCTACATAACTTTGATGGAATAGAGGATATTTTATACAGTTTACACATGTGAATGCATTTTACGAACCAGTGCTGGTAGTGCGAGGCCACGACTTGTATCCCTTGTTTATATTATATATATATAGATTTAATAAAATAATGACAGATTTCCCTGTGGAAGTGCTAGGAATTCTTGACAGTCATGCTAAAAAACAAGTTTGTAAGAATTACACACATAATATGAGAAACAGATCTAACATCTTGAAAATTTTTTTATTCAAATAATTAATATTGTAATGCCCTTGAAATTTTACATTTTGTGATTTCACTGGATTTCAGTCTTGTTTATTTCTACTTTCACTTTCATTTTGAGAAGCTTTTACTGGCGACAACACAGTAAATCCTGTGGTGTCCTAATGAAACATACAGGACATCAACTTAAATCTACATATTGTGCCGGCAATTTAAACCTTCCTGATTCCCTTAATGTTATCCATGGTAGAATCCTATGGTTATAATCTGTTTTCGTGACTTCTGTCAAATCAGTTAATTCCTTTATTTCACACTCAATATGTTAAAGTTTGATTGTATATGATGCAGCCTCATTTAATATGTAAATCTGCTTTATAAATCCATCTGAGTTTAATTGTTAACACTGTATATTTATGATAATTTGAAATGCACTTTTCCATGCCGGCCATGTTGGACTATTACGTCTACTGTTAGATTACGTAGTGAATGCAAGGGATAGTTCTTTATCCTATGACAATAAATTGTCACTTAGAAAATGTTGACTCTGGGGAATTTGACATATTAAAATGTTTGAAGTCTAAATCCCCACCCGAGAGACAATCATTTTTGTCTAAATCGCCACCCTTGAGCCTGCTTGGTGCATCAAATGCCCCTGGGGTAGGGGAGAGAGATCAATCAATAAATAAAACTGTTATCAGAAAAACAATGAAAAAATATAAGTAAAAAGACTTATCATAAGGAAAATAATGAATCCAGATTAATGGGCCTCTGAAGTAAGGTATGTATAGTCCCAATGAGTATATATGTTAATAACTTTGATAGTATTCAAATGATTAGACTTAGAAGAAACTTATAACATGGGTATTTTCAAGTAAAAAAGGGGCATAATTCTGAAAATAATGCATCCAGGGATATAGGCCTTCTTAGTATGGTAGTTGTAATCCCACTGAATACCCGTACCTAGTTTTAGTTGAATACCTTTCATAGTATAGAATGTATGACTTTTAAAAAACTTAAACCAATGCGGACATGGACACACAATCGATGGACACACAATCGATCGCATAAGCTCATTAACCCTTTACCCCATGAATATGTGTTTTAACGCATATGCGACCAGTGCAGATCCAGATCAGCCTGCACATCCATGCAGTCTGATCAGGATCTCCACTGTTCTCTTTTCAGTCAGATATAAAATAGAAACAGTGGAGATCCTGATCAGACTGCACGGATGTGCTGATGTGCTGATCTTGATCTGCACTGGTCATATCGATGGCTGAACGCAACACTGGTCTAACTTGATTTTTACAAATTTTCAAGGAGGCTATAAAAACTTAATTAATTCTATAAATTGGACATTTTTGTTATTATTTTTAGATTTTTATATCCATATAAGTTAAAATTTTAGTTAAAAGGAGTTTCATAAATTAATATTGTTAAATAAAAAAGATATTTGAAAAGATATGAGTTAGATCAGTTTTCCATTTATAAATCACCAAATTTCAATGATAAACTTTCAGCAAAACTGGTCTAACTTGACTTAGCCCTATGTTGCATTTACAAAATGAGCTCAATAAGACCAAAAGAATAATCAATAAGTGCTATGTTTGAAAAAATAGGATAATATACTAGAAAAAGCTGTAACTATAACCATATTTTAGTATTATTTTAAAAGAAAACAACTTTTCTAAGGAAACCAAAATGTTAATTTATACAAAATTGACAACTTTTGCATAACATACTAGAAATCAGACAATCTTAAAAGTCAGTTGTTTTATCACATAAAAATATTTTAGAAAAAAAAATAAATTATAAAGTTTCAGTTTGGAATGAATGTTTTGTAGACAAGATAAGATTTTTTACATTAAGCATTATTCAATGTAACATTAAAGTGACATTATGCTCATATTTTCATAGTCAAGCTGAGCTGAATTGACTTTATATTCAAAAGATTGACTGTCAAAATGGTGTTTGACCAACAGTTAGTGTTGGGTATCGGACTCAAAAATCACTATCGATAATCGGATCACCACAATCGATTGTCTTCCGATAGTATAAATTATAATCGAGTTTTGCATTTTTTTGGCCCTTTTTCTTTTAAGGTACCAATCCTTGTATGTATTTTTTTATACAGTAGTGACCATATTTTGAGAATAAACTCTTGTCTCATTGATTAAAGTAAGATTTACTCTTTGAATTCAAAACAAACAACACAAATACCTAATACTACTTTGTGACAGGCAAGGGTGAATTTGCTTTGATGTTCAGGAAACAAAGTCGTTCAAATTGCGTACTTATTCACTAGCCATGTTTTTTCTGTATTTCTTTTTTGATGAGGCAAACAAAAAAGATTATATATCCTCTGGAATTAAAGAGATTTGGTCGGGAAACTTCTATTTGACCATGTGTAAAAAAGTTACGCCCTAGGCAATTCAGCGGTGGTAGAACATTAAAATAATCGATTGTTAAAAAGGACTATCGATTGTTGCCGATTTTGGGGTGATCCGATTAGTTATCGATTTTCAGAGACAATCGGGACAACACTACCAACAGTTGATATAAGAAAATGTTTAGGATAAAATTATAAATCTGCCTAAAATTTAAAAAGACTGCCCCACTCTTTTTTATAAACTAAGCGTTATAGGTAAATTCTAATGGATCTTTACAGAAATTTTATTTGGATCTGCGCATTATTTATTGTTTATGTGAACTTAAATATTAAATTGGAAGGATTTATGGCAAAATGAAAACATATTTTGACCTTCACCCGTTTACTCACTATATACCCTTGGATTGACATAATGTCACTTTAAAATTGAAGCACAAAATAGAAGCATGTATATAAAACTTGCAATTCTAAAAACACAGGCAATTTTATTCAAAATGAACCTAATTTTTGCCTATTGGATCTTCATTTATATTTTCAAGTTTATTTATGTAGTCAGAATTTCAAGGAAATTTTGCATAAACTAAGGTTATCGCTCCAAGTTGCCAAAGAAAAAAAACTTTTTGCCTCACTTTGTAATTAAACTTGGCATGACACTTGTATCTATAGCTTTGTCCACCTTCCTTTCTCATCATCCGTTATACTCAATTTTTGTCAGATTTTTTAAACATAATTTTTTCCCCATATTCCTATTACAGTAATTCATTACATTTCTCTTTTATCTATCATCAATGATCATTCTTACTATTTTATCAAATATTTTCCCCATTTAATAACTATTTTCTATATCTAATATACATAAACTATCATTTTAACCATTCTCTACTTGCCAGTACTCATCACCAGCATAATGTTATCAAAAACCCTAATTTCACTTTCAAAATGATTAACTGTTACAGCACTTTTGTCACCATCACGGCTCTTATATAAACAGCATTGTCTCCGCTAGCCCTTATTAACCAACATTACTATTCTGAAAACTCATCTCACCACCACTATTTACCTCACCACCTATATAAGTAGCATTGCCACCAAATTAGACCTCATTACATCAGTATTGTCATCAATCACACTTTTATCACCAGCATTGTCATCCTCAGCATATTCACCTCTTACTATAATTATATCACCAATATTGTCCCCACTACCCTTATGATACCAACGTTGTCCTCACCAGTAGTGTCCCCATACCAGTATTGCCCCAACTTACCATAATATCACCAGCATTGTCCCCTCAAACTATAATATCACTTACATTGTCGCTACTTAAACACTCATATTACCAGCATTGTCTCCACTAACTGATATCACCAGCATTGTCCCCACCAGTTGTAATATTACTAG